ATAACATACAATTGCCTTTTCATCATGGTTCAAATCATCTAATAGTCGGCCTAAATTAAAATATATCTTAAAAAAAAATTAATTGGCTTTCTGATATAACTCTTGACTAAAATTTGGATTGATCTTAATTGCTTGATCATGAATTCTATGTCATCTTAATATCGTTTTAAATCAACTAATGCGCTGCCTAAATTAAATTTTATATATGCATATACCTTTATTAATGAATGATTTATTAGAAGATATTGCATCAATTTAAAGATTCTTTTTTTATAATTTTATTATTATTTTATCATCAATAATGCATATGCCTAAAAAGATAATCTTTTTAAGAATTCATTACCTTTATTGATGTCACTGAAATTTAGATTGATCTATATTGCTTGATCAAAACAGATTATGGCATCTTAATAACGCTTTCAAATAATCTCAGAAATAGGATTTTATTTTTTATTAGGTTTGGCATTGATTTGTTTAGTATGACATGGATCATCTATAATATTTCAAATTTTAAATAGCATTAGGAATTATTTTTATTCCAAACAGGATGATTTCTTTTTATTTTATTATTTCAATGAGGCAAAAATCCACATTCTCTTTGGAATTGTTTTTAATGATTTCAATTATCTACTATTGATATTTTTTAAGATTATAAAGTGTAAAATTTCAATTGAAGATTAAAACTTTCAGCCTACTTAATCTATTTACTCCATTTAATCAGATTGTACTTTTATAACTAAATAAATAAAAGTTTTTGAATAATAAAATTCTAAGAGATCTGGTTCTGTTGATATGAAAGTTTTTTATCGCTCTAATGATCTTAAAAGCTTACATAATACATTTAAAATCTGCTTGTCTTTTTATTCTATGATAAAAAATAATAATATAAATTAATTAAAATTAATTGTAGCTACTCTTTTAAAATAAGTACATTAATCAAAATGTTTCTCATGCATAATGAAAATATCTTCTAATTTTTAAGAAGCCCCTGTATATTGAATTGCTTATTAATTAATCTAACCTTACCTAAATATCTATTAAATTTAAGAGTAATCTCTTGAACCTATAAAGATTTAATTTAATCTTGATTACCATTAAGCGAATTGGATAAATCTTTCATCTATTTTTAGAATGATTTCATTTATGATTATTTTCAATTAGAAAACTTCATTAATTCTCAAATTTCTCAATAGTATTTCGAATCTATTCTTATTCGGTTAATTTTTATTTGCTGTAAATTATTAAATTATAATATTTTTAAACCATCTAACAAGCATTTTCATCCAAGTTATAAATCAATCTCTCACTTATAATAAATCGGCTCTGAAATTTTATTTTCTATAACAAAAGCTTCTTGAAAGGTTTGAACTATTTTAGGAAATTTTCAAACTTAATTTAAGTTCCATTATGATTTTAGAACCATATTAATGATTGACAGCGTATACAACCTTCCATTTAAAAATTCAACTACACTTATTTTAGATAAAATTTTTAATTTATATAATTATTTATCAATTTATTTTTACTAAACGAAGAAGATGAATTAGAATTTCAT